TGCAGTGGGCGTTGGGGGGGAGGTTGAATGAAATACCCCCCTTACACCGAACTGCTTGCTCGCGTATTCGAGTCAGCCGGATTTTGTACTCATTGTCAGAAGTAAAGACCCCCTCGACACTTGTTGCTCGCCATCGACATTTGTCTGCTCCACGGAGGTTATATACCGTCCTCCCCCCTCCCTCTCCTCGTCGAGCGTCGCGTTTCGCTTTCGTGGTCGCATTCTTTGTCAAGTTACACATGTACGACAGGGGCCCACGTACACGCTACGGTGACTTCATAATGGCCACACCGTGTGACTGGGGTATTGCGTTTCCGTTCCCGTTTCCCCTCAGTTTGCGGTGACGACGAATGCTTAGGAACGCTGGAAAACGATTCTGTTATGGAGAGAATCTGGTCTTGGCTCCGGGGTATGTTAGGTATGGACCGAGGATAGAATCTAGAGTGTATACGTACATTAACGGCTAAAAGTATGAGACCAGAGTTCATGATTGATGGAATGGGAACTCATTACTTTGTTACGATACAATCAAAGTTACGGAAACAGTACATATACAATTATCCTCTCTGTGTTGTTTAGACACGTGATTCGTATAAACACACATAACTATAAAAGCGCCCAAAAATCTTCGATTCTTATGTATTGTGATTGAAATAAAAACGAACCAAGTCTGCCACGTCTGAAATCGTGTTAAGAAAAAATGCTTTTCCATAAAAGGATAGATCATATTCCTTAGAAAAATGTAGTTCGTTTTTATTTTAACCACAGTATATATTGATTGACAATTTTAGGGTGGTTTCATAGTTATGCTACGCAGTGTATAATATTCAAGAATGGAAGCATTCAAATTGTGATTATTTATAATTCTAATAATAAAGGACGATGATACCAAGACTGAAAACCGTACCGGTTTGAAATCGAGGGAAAAGAAAAATTAGTTTAGCCAGTGAGGAACGCATTACAAATTCCGTGGACGTAGCGTCATCTGCATCACTGATGCAACCCTCTTCGCTGTCGAAACAAATCCATTACATCCACGTCCCTCCCATCGCTGTGTTGCCTCTCGGTGCAGAAATTCCGAACCGTTTGGAATTTGGAATTTTCAACCGTCAAAAGGATTTTCGTACGGACGAGGAATTAAAAAGTTCCATAGTCTTCCACGCAGGAGACTTCTAAATCCTTTTTCAGAGCAGGAGGGTGAGGCAAGAAGTCTGAAAGGTACTTTTATTGAAAAAGTGTAATCCGTTTTCGAAAGACGCGACGTGGTTCTAATTACAGGACGTCACACGATTGTCGATATTTCGTGATCTATCGCCTGGAAGATCAACGCTCTCAGAGAAAATGTAGGTCCCGTTTCGTGGCTGTAGCTACAAACAGATGACGGGATATTGCCTTCAAGGCAATAATCCATTGTCGTTACTTCCTTACCACCTGCGTTATTGCCGTCAAGGCAAGAATCCTTTCGCTTTTAGATTTTATCGAACGCTGCTGGTCCTCGACACATTTATTTTAAGAATAAGATAATGTGACGAGACAGAACATTTATTTCAAGAAATAAGATGATGTGAGGGTAAAAGAAGGACTTAACCTTTCGCCCTCGTAATTCCAACCCCACACAAGATGCAACAGTTATTCTGTATGGCACAATCCCTCTCAAAAAATGAAACATTCCCCACTATCAAACAAGTGTACACAGTCATACGATGCTAATTAAATCGATTCGGAACTCGAGGAGTTCAAAATTAAAGAAAAACTTATACTTGCAGGGAAACCCTTTTCCCCTCGAGTAAAATAATCCTTTCAGCTTATCCATTATCGAAACCAGCGTGAATCCAAATACTTCCGATTCGGTCAATCAATTTTCCAAATACTTCTGCTTCCACGAATCGATTTCACCCCCGCCGTTCCCACCCTTCGATCCTCTATATCTCTCTCTAGTTTCTGACTGGAAAATAAAAAAAATTCGACACACACAAGGAGAGAGAAACTAAAAAAAAGGGCGAGGGGGAGAAGAATTCGTAGATTCTGAAAGTTGATTTAAACGTTTCCCCCGTCGAATACGAACAAGGGGGAGACATAGAAAAAAACGGGAATCGGAACGGAAAAATTACTCGATTCGATTCACCGAACGACTAAATACAAGCATCGCGAGAAGGGGATGAGAGGGTGGGTGTGGAGGAAAGGGGGATTGGATAGGCGGCGTGACACGAAAACGAATTCGTTTTTCTCTTTCTCTCTGCCCACCCCTTTCCCGCGACTCGTCAAACACCGAATTTTTTATCCTGGCCAATATATCTGGTCGCGGTGACGGGGGTGGTGGGAGGGGATGATTTTTGCATATCCATGAGCCACGGCGTCGAACAGCATCGATAACCCATAATCATTGGTGTCCCGCCGGCTGGCCAGAGGCTGGCATTCAGCATGAATAAAACAAACATAAGTTTCGCAGCGAATTCAATATCCCCCGCCCACACCATCTCCCGTTCCGCCCCCCTGCAAACCCCCGTCAAAGTAAGAGGAACGTACTGCAATCGGTTGCAGCCGCGTACGTAGGCTAAATGCGGCTATATTGTAGCCTCGTAAGCAAAAGTCCCGTTTCCCCGGGAGATCGTCCCAGAGAATTGATCTCTTTTTAATGGAACATTATAGTTTCCCCCCCCCCCCCTCCCCTCCAACTGGCATTAAACATACCTTGCATTGATTCGGTTGTGTAATTTTAAACAGTAGGTACGTTATAACCAGAATCACCGTAAAATTGCGGATCTTGTGACAGATCGAAATTCAAAGATTGTAGTCGGTGGATTCTTGGAGGGTTTGGAAAGTGTCTATGACAATCTAACCCCGATGTTGGTTCAATACAATTTGTATGAAGCCGAAATGATGTACTTCTATTCGAATAAAATCGTAAGCTTAAAAATTCAATACAGTAAATCCTCGGTGAGTGCTCGGAAGCTCCTCGGCACTGACAAGGAGAGTTCCCCAAGTATAACATTAACTTTTCAATGAAATTTAGCACCGTGATAGAACTTGGGATTCTGAAGCCAATGATATTTGTTACAGCCGCATATGACCATTAGTTAATGAAACATTTAATATTCAGTGCGGAGGAGCCTTCGAACACTCATCGAGGATCAACTATAACCGTGTACGACATCACGTCTGTACAGACTCCTCTCGATTATCTTCTGGCTTGTTCTACACGATTATTGTCCAATCGTTATCCTCACAGGGAAAAAAACGAATTTACGAGGGTCTGAAGCATTTCTCCCTATAAGATTATTGTCCCGGCACGGACCCGAATTCGGGACGATAATCGAGAGGGGCCACAGTTCAAGCACATTTCTATGCGTTCGGCAGTAGGACATACACACACAGATCGTGGTCACAGTTTCCACATTTCCGGTTGTTTCTGGTCCCCTTGCACACGCTGGCGGAATCGTGGAAACACGACGAGGAGAGTGGCCTGGCGAGAGCGAACGGCGCGTTTCGGGCAATGCCGCCGCTTTGAAAATCGATAAGCGGCTCCGCGGTAGTCGACCAGTCAGAGGAGCTTTTCGGCGTGTATCCGTGCGCGAGAGATCCTGGCTGGTCACGTGGCCGTTTCCCCATAGACGAGCGTTCGCGTGAACCATCAAGAGCACAAACCTGACGTGATTCCTACCCTTCGATCACAATCCTTTCACCCCGCCACCGAAGAAGATCACAACCTACAATGTTCTCGATCGACCCGTGGTCCTGTGTCTCATTGCACTCCCATGTGCAGGCTTCATCGATTGAAACGTCCGATTGGACGTATTTGCATCGTTGGTGGGGTCCTATCCCCGATGATTGATCGAATTAATCAGCGACGGGTGAACAAAAAAAAAAAAAGAAACATAATCCGTCCCTAGTAATGATAAATGGCAACGGGGCCAATTTAAACAGAGGATCGAGTAACGAATTCAGCTTGGCCTGGTGACTCGATAACATCTCGGCCCATTGATTATTCCCATGGATAAGGATGAGTGGGGAGAATTCGCTGGAAGGGGGAGGTGGTGCGGGAGGGTTGGGAAAGGAGGGTCAAACATCTCGAAAAGGTCGATTCATTAGGGATCGCGGTGGAAGGGAAGCTCCGGTAACCGGTACAGATGTATCCTCTCTCTCTCTCCACCCCCCTAGACACCCTACCCACCCATCACCGCCGAAGGGAGCAAGAAGAAACACACCATCTTTCTCGTGGCCTCCGTCCTTGGAGCACTAGAGTCCTGGTGGCCGAGCGACCGACCGAGCGCCGACTGCGCAGACGTGCACACCTCCTGTTCCACCGAGGATGCCCGAAAGAGTCGGCCCCCGCGGAGGCGCGAAACCCTCGTTTCACCGTGTCCGGAAGCATCGATGTCGGGGGTGAACCGGAGAGAGGGCCACGGCCTCCGTGGAGAAGGATAGAGAGGAACGAGTACGAAAAGCAGAATAGAGGGTGAAAACCGTGAGAGGGTAGGCAAGAGTACACCAAGAGAGAGAGAGGAAGAGAGAGACGAGCGATATCGTAGAGAGGGTGGGTGCCACGGGGGAGGAAGCGCATGCGTGTCGAGCCACCGGAAGGACTGACAGAGATCTAGATGGAGTACGGATCGGTGGAAGAGAAAGAGAGGTAGGTTAGAGAGGGTAAGAGGAGGAGGAGGAACGTATACAGAGAGCTGGCGCTCGTAGGGCAGTCGTTCCTCCTTCGTCGTTCCTTCGCAAGAGGCGCATAGAGCGCGCCTTTTAACGAAATTATTCCGTGAGGGAAAAAAAGGCTCTAGGGCCCTGGGCTTGCCGTGTAGCCAGCCTCGACGCGCCTCTGCTATCGGCCACCAGGAGCAGCGGCCCTCGTGCCTCGTCTCCCACGGATAATTCGGCTGGGTTGTTGTACTCGTGTGTTACCAGTCCGTTCGTAGGGACAAAAGAAACAAGTGTGTTTGCGAGTGGTGTGAGAAAACCGGTGGAAGAATCGTGACGAAGGAGGAAGACAGGGGTGTGAAGGTGGTCGAAGGGAATCGCGACAAACGTCGTCGTTTTACAGCTCGTTCCCACGGTCAGTATCAGTCGTAATAGTAGAACCTGCTTCTCTGATCGTTTGTGCTCCATGGTACCTTGCTGTCTTCATGGGCTTTTGGGGAATCGACACTACTGTGTTATTCCGAGAAATCGAACGGATCCCCAGGAACGGGGGAAAATTCCTACGGTTACACGTTTCCTCGACGATCGCCATTTATTGATTTCCGCAGTCAGGAGGAACGGTATCGCCCGGTTTTACTCGTCACGCGAAAATTTTGGCCGCACCATCCGCGCGTTTTGCCGATCGATTCGCACGTTCTCGTCGTCCTCTCCCACCAGTCGCGCGCGGCCTACCCTACGCGAACCTCTCCTCTCGGTGTCTCTCTCTCCTCTCGGCGTGTCCACACGGTTATTTTCCGTGCGTGTGTCTGTGTTTTTTTGTTGTTGTTTTATCTTTTGAAGATAGATTTATAGGCTACTTAAGTCGTAATGGAAATATATCGATTCTCACAAAGAAGGAGGAATCCATTTCTCGATCGAACTGACTGAGCGCTTTAAGGGGTGTCGAGATCGCGAGGATACGCGAGTGTGTGTGAGTGTGTGTATGTGCACGGGATATGTGGATGGTGCAACCCCCAGAGAGTGTGTTCGTTGGCCTTTCCGAGTACCCTGATACCGATTCTATTTCTCTCTGTCATTTTCTGTCTCGTGTAAGAAATTATTGAACTAGTCCAGACGCATTCCATGGGATGAGTCGACGCAGGAGAATCAATGAGAACCGTGAGTAGTCGAGTCATTGCACTTCGCCGTGGGGTAAGAAGGTTTTAATTATTCTACGTCGTTCTTACTTGGGAGGAGGTGGGGGTAGTTTTCGATTGGCGGAGAGAAATAGGCAGGGAACACAAAAGCGTCGTTGAATTGAACGATGTATATAGGATATTTCGAGGGCTGTGAAGGCTAGGGCCCTCGACTCCAATAATTGCACTCGAGTGGAAGAGAGAAGAGACCCTCCTCTTTCTACGACTGATTAGACAGTATTCGAACTAGAAGGGCTCCCTTTGAAAAAAACAAAAGATTTGAATCTTTGTCGATACGGGACAATTGACTGTATCATGGAATGCCTGATCAAGTGAACCTATAGATGAGTGTTACCAGCATATCCTGCGATAGGAATAATCATTGTGAGTAAATTTTCATTGCTTCGAGTATACCAAAGAAGAAGTCAAATTCTTCGTTTTTTGAAGAAAGGCGGAAAATCTGATTTCCGTAGAATATTTTCTGTTATTTTTCCACACCATTCTGCGCCATTTTTGCCGAGCACAAGGACGGTGAGGTGTTTTGAGGCGAAAGTATATTGGCGACTTAAGACAGTAGCTTTCTAATACGTTAGATCACTTATCTGAATTGTCTTCTTCGTAGTTAAAATTGGATGTATTTAATTCGATCGGATGGTAGATAAAACAATTTCAAATTTAGTCGAAATTCCTAAGCAAACGGTCGATTGCAAATAAAATAGAAAAAAATTGCGTTAGAGGAGAAAACAGTTGCCTTCTTGCGGCAAGTAAAATTTGAATAAGAAAGTAAAATCCCTGTCGATACTTTCAACAAACGATTCCTTATAGATATATTGACTCAACACCCTATTAAGAATCCTGAAATATTAACAATGAAATAAAGACACTTCTAGAGCTCCGTTCGACCGAAACAATTATATCACTGAATGAAAAATTCAGGTGGTTATCGACACTCAAGAGAATTGATTAATTACTCGATAAATCAACTCATCAGCCCTGGTAGAATTGCCCGGGAATAGGAAAAGTCGTGACGCCTCACGAATAATTGGTAGGAAATTCAATGACATTCGATAAACAACTAAAATATTCAACGCCGATCACGGTAATTAACTTATCCTAACTGAATCAACTTATCACGCAGATGAAATTTTTATATACATATACAGAGTGTTTCCGAAATTGTGATACAACCATAGAAGGATGTAAAAGTAAGTGGAAAATATACAATACAATCTTCTCATAGGGAGCTCTATTCTCGTGAAAATCGAGCTTGAAGATTCATCCGTGAAACGTCTGTATTCATCTGGGCAATAAGTAGAAACGGAATGTAATGAACAGACGCGCTAGCCAAGTCCTATTCAATTGCACGCATATGAGGCAGAACATTCCAATTCTCGATTATCTTGGAAACAAAGTGTCACACGAACAAACTCTGTTCTATATTCCCGACTTACTTTTACACGAGGAATCACTGTTTTAAATATTAAATTTCTCAATTATCTTGGAAACTAAGTATAAATTCTATTCTCTATTTTCGATTTACTTTCACACGAGGAATCTTTTCAAATATTAAAATTCTCATTTTATTCACATTTAATATTCACATTTTATTCCACATTCTCGACATACTTTTACACGAGGAATCACCTTCTCAGTTGTACCACGATTTCGAAAAAAAACCCTGTACTTAACGGACGAACGAAAAATCTCTACGATCCTTCGGTCCATACTGTGATCGACTTATTGCACAGGAATCATCTTAACACTCCCCGGTTAGAATGCAGCGAAAAAGTTGCACAAAAGACGTATGAGGAAGAGTTCGCGTCGGAACGAAACAATCAGTCGAAATTCAATGAAGAACCGTCTGGGGTAGACACCCGGCCGAAAGAAAAACGAGAGAGGATGGAGGGTGGGATGGGGGGTGAGAGCCGAGTCATCGTACTCGGGACACACCGCGTTCGGAGGGCTCTTATCTCGATTCCGCCGGTGTAGGTTAGAGACACTCCGGGGTGTCCCAGCGATCCTCGGGCCCGATACGAGAGATCGGATCGATCGATCGAACTTACCGAACAGAGACTACACTCTCGAGTTTTCCCTGACCTAAGAATACATCGGTGAAGTGTCGTATGGAACGGGGTGGAGTGGACGACAGAGGGTGGTTGGAGGGAGGCGGAGGGGAGGACACGAGTGGGGAACACCGCCCCCTTTCGAGCGTACCGACAACGATGACTGCAGATTTGTCTTTTCTTTCGTGTTCGAGCCGTTCCGCCAAAGACACACACCGGTGCCCCTGGAACACAGAAAGGGGTTCAGTAGCCCCTGCGATCTCGTCGGCGATCGTCGCGTGACACCAACCAATTAAAACTCACCCCCGCGGTTTGACATTCCTGTTTATTTGGTGGATCGATATCCGTTATTCTTTCGTCACGAAACACGATTCGCGCCTCGGTGAATTTGGAAGATCAGTTACTCGAGGGACTGATCAAGATTTCTCCATTTTGTAGTGGGCATTTGGGAATTCTGATCTTTCATCGTTTGATACAGTGCGCTCTTGGAATAACGAGTTAAATAACAGTGACGTTATTTGTTATCAGACAATTACGTTCCCTAGTTATTGGGACACGATTGGCAGCCACCACGTGGGAGAGCGAATCTCCTAAACACGTGTTCGAGGATCGATCAACTGGTATCATATTTCTTTTTTTTTTCGTAGAATCGAGACGAATGATGTTCAATTGACGAAGACTGCGCAACGCTAGGAATGGCCCCATTCAGTTCCGTTTTCCTGGGCGTCTGGGGAGTGTTCGTTATCGTTTTGATACAAGGTATCCATATCGACTCACGCGTACAATGTTTCTGTGTGTGTGTGTCTTTTATCAGTGGTTCTTAACCTGAAGGGAATCAATCGCGGCACACGTTCCCCCTTTCTTTCTTCTATTTATTTTCGGACGGAATTGGGGACGAATCCTTTTCGGGTATTATTGTTCTCCCGCGGAACGGGAAAGTGTATAATTGAGACCGAGTGGCTCGTTATTCGGGCGAAGTGTGGCCAAATATCCTTGCCACTTGACCCAAGGCGTGTGCCACCTGGGTTCTAGGTTAAGGACTGCTGTACCGTAAACGACATCGCGGAAATTCTTGATAACGAACTATTTGCAGAATCTAGGCCCGTCAGCTGGGAGGAATGGTGGACCTACGACGGTATTTCAGGTAAGGAATTCTTCCCTCGCGGACCAGCGAATCGTTAAGTGGTATCCTGTCTTCGGGTTACAAAGAATATTTAAATATTCGTTTAAAAAAAAACCAGAAATTTCTCTCATAACGAGCATCTTGATATATCCAAGAGAAAAGAAAAACAGATAATTATACAATAAAATTTCCTTTTCGTCCTCTGAAGTAGGGATGTTCGAATCTCAGTCGTCAAATGTTCCCAAGGGATTGAATAATCCAAAAACTATCCGGCTGAGAGTCGAAGAGCTTGTTTTTAGCTTAATTTTATAAAATCATAAACACGTTGCCACTTGACTCTCTCCCCTCCTCCTCCCTGATCCCTAAATAATTTCATATACCGTCGCTAATCCCCGGGCTTAACGTCGCGGAAACTTCGTATCGAACTTGTTAACGGTCTCGAGGGTCCGCGCTTTCCCGGTAATCGATGCCCGTTTAACCCACGGGTGCTTCGAGTGTGTTTAATTTGGCGCAACGATCACGAAGGTCCCGGCTTCTGGGGTCTGATCAATCCGGACTGGTGGCTCTGCCACAAGGGCAGACGACAATCGCCGGTGAACCTCGAGCCGGCCAGACTTCTTTTCGACCCGAATCTCAAGCCGTTGCATCTGGACAAGCACAAAGTCGCCGGTGTACTGGCGAACACCGGGCACAGCGTTGTCTTCGCGGTGGACAACGACACGCGTCATCCCGTGAACATATCGAACGGTCCGTTGAGCTACCGTTATCAATTCCACGAGATCCATTTGCACTTCGGCTTGGACGATCGAACCGGGAGCGAGCACACTGTCGATGGACATGCGTTTCCGGCGGAGGTATGTACACCGAAAAATAATTAACACTTTGCTGGTAGGAGAATTTTTTGTGTTTGCAAATACACAACTTCGGGTGTTCTAAAAATACAGGATGAATCAATAAGAACTACTATCTAAAATAATTTGTTATCTATAGATTGTATCAGAAAACGTAACTATTAAGGGATGCTACGCATGGATCAAATTTGAATTTTTTTTTAGATATCACGATGACCTTGAGTTTCTTCAAGGTGAATGTATTTTCTTTGGCTGATCAATTTGATGCTTCACGATTAATCCTTTTTTCGTTCAGTTTTTTGGTCTTTGTTTACCCCTAGTGCACAGACTGGGTTGATTCCACCCGAAGCTAATGTCTGATTCCCTCGATAATTGTATCTGTTATTTATGGAAATTTGTGAAGTAATTTCACACCGATAACTTACGTGTATTATAATCTAGCGATAGGGAAGTATATTTCCTTAATTTGATTCTATTCGTCCAATGGAACATTAAACAGTGCACGAGAGTTAAATTTTCTTGATGTTGAAGGAACATGTTCTTGTACTAACCAAGAATATACTGTATAAGTGATTCTTTTTAGAAGTAGGTGTTGATTTATGACCAGACATTCTTATTCCACTTACGACGAATTGAAACATCTATAGCAGTCTGGCCAAAGGCCGACGTATTCTACTGACAATCTTAAAACTTGTTTTTTATTTATCGATTCACGGAAAGAATTCCATTATCCAGTCTTCTGTACACACTCTTCTCATATTTATTCAAGAGAAATATTGTTCTAGTATTTTCCGTGAAGTCTGTTGCGAGCGCCTGACCATTCGGACTACTGTTCCACTTAAATCGCTAAAGAGATACCCCGTTTACATTCTTCCGTTTCTTGATTCCACGCCAAGAATTCAACCCTGTTTGCTATACACATTCCTTCCTATTTCCATTCAGACGAAATGTTTTCCCTTGCATCTTCCCTAAACTGTTCGGACGGGCGTCTGAACACTTACTGTTCTATTCCACTAGCATTCCTGAAGGAAAGCCTCTTTCCACCTATCCCTTTTCCCATCCTGTACATATAGGATGGTACACTCAGAAAGGGGCGTTTCTACATGTAAAAATAAGTAGAAAATAAGGACAAAAATTTGTTCATTTAAGGTTCTGTTTTCGAGAATATAAAGTTCGAAAAACTGTTGACTGCCCGTGCAATTGAATGGGACCTGGCTAGTGCGTCTGACCATTGCATTCTGTTTCTACTTACGATCACGATGAATACACGCATTTCAGATTAATTTTCAAAGTCCATTTTCTCGAAAGTAAAGCCTCATACGAAAAGATTTCATTCCACATTGTCGACTTATTTTTTGTTTCCAGAATCACCACCTTTCCTGTTGCACCACCAGTTATCGATCACCCTGTTATTTATATTGTCCTAAAATTTCACATATTTCGGTCTGACTAATGACATGCACAGTCTACTGAAACTACTAGCTACTTATATTTTATTTACCAAAACCTCTTCCCTTTTCATAAGAAAAATTTTCATTATTTAGGGATAAGCTTTCGACTAACATCATGTTTCTTTCGTTCGCAGCTACAAATATTTGGCTTCAACTCGCAGCTGTACAGCAACTTCTCGGACGCGTTACACAGGGCGCAGGGGATTGTCGCGATCTCGCTGCTTCTTCAGGTACATGCCTAATCTGTCGCGCGCGGTATATCTCGGCCGGTGAGATCGGACCGGGCGATGAGGAAAGATCGCAACGAGCGATACGTCATAGATACCCGTTCTCGGTTGGCTTTCAGGTGGGGGATCTCTCAAACCCGGAGCTACGGATATTCACCGAACAGCTGGATAAGATCAGATACGGAGGTGAGAGCCGCCAGTAATTTAATACCGTCTAGGAGAAAACGCGAGAACTACCAACCCCTCTGGACAGATCCGAGTTCAGAGGGGCTTATCGGGGCCTATTCTCGTTAGATTCGATAGAAAAGTTCGTGAAATCTCACCCTTATTCGGTGTGGGTAAGAAATTCAATATAAATACAATCTAATTGACTTAGGGGGTTAAAAACATGGTGTCTGAAATTTTATTCGTTAAATTAACGAATTCGATGAAAATATTATAAGAAACTTCGAATGATACAGAGGGCATAAAAAAAATGAAGCAGGCGCTATAAATTTTAAGACCGATAGAAAGAAAAATCCATTCTTGATATATTACGACCCACCCCTTTCGGTTCTTTAAGTGACATATGTGGTATGAGGTCAGCCCCAGAGGGCTGTTTCCGTCAGGATGCTCATTTTTTCCAATGCAACTAAAACGTATAAATACTCCTTCACCTCGGAACAGAAATCTCGGCACAGTGAGACGGCGTTTCGCGTGATATTTTCTAATCCAGATGCGGAATTTTCGGATGAAAATTTCTCACAAAAGTTACCATCCAACGACTCGATAAAAGTAATGCGATAAAGATAACTGGAAATTATTTGTGTACACGGAATGTACGTAGATATTCCGTAATTTTTATTATATCCCAACGGAATAATGAGTTACTGTTCCATCAATCATGAACACTGGTCCCACACTATCGACCGTTAGTGTGTCATCGTCCCCTAAGGAGCAACAAATTTCCATCCAAACGCGAAATCATCTGATCCATCCACGACGCCAGGTGTCTAAAGAGGTTCCGATGCTTACGATCGGTATGGTGCATAAAATCAACCCGCCTCATTATTAACCGTTCGATAAACCGACGCTGCTCCAGCCCCACGTATGTATCACGATCTTCGTGAAGGTGTATAAAGCTGTCCACGGAGGCGCGAGGTAGCATCCGTTTCAAAATTCCTCGGGCAAATCGACGTCACCCTCGTGCAGGACTCGACTTTCCCTCGATCGCACGATATTCCAGGACACGTTCACAGGAAAGGAGGTTTGGGAGGGTTCGATCGCGAAATTGCCAGTGGGGTGCACGCGAACTTTTCTCTTCCCCCGGCTATTAGCTCTTAAGTGACTGGGAAAACGCGGCGGGCAGGTTGTAAGCGGGCTGGAGTATTACATTTCGGTAGCGGATGTGTGTGTCTGTGTGTGTATGTATGTAGAGGCACGTCGATGCTAATTGGGGTACGTATGCGCGTCACGGTGCCTTGTCAGATGCCGCGTTTATCGATCGATACCGATTGTGCACACAGGTCAGGCGATGGAGATTAAGCGTTTCGTGGTGCGGGAACTCCTGCCGGACACGAAATATTACATGACGTACGACGGCTCCACCACGATGCCGGCCTGCCACGAGACCACCACGTGGATCATCCTGAACAAACCGATATACATCACTAAGCAGCAGGTGAGAATCGTCACGAGATACTACAGAGGTTGGGGACAACCTGTTATAGGTGCCCGTAAACAAGAATAGATACAGTGTCTAAAGGATTTTATTATTTAGATATGGACTTTCGAAAATTAAGCCGAGAATGACAAAATTTTATTCTATATTTTCTTTGTATTTTCTCACAAAGATTCACGTGATGCCCACTTTTACATATTATTCCGCTGGCTAGTCTATGCATGGCAGTCTGACCAACGACCGACCTATTCTACTAAACGATTCTATAATATACAGGGTGCTGACCCTTTTACAAACAAAATGTGTAAACAAAATATCATCTAAACAGTCTACTGGGGTTGGGGGAGAAAGCATTTTGTTCGACGCCCCCACCCCTCGGAAAGGACGCGAGCCAGATTTTCGCGCGACCGATATCGCGCCTCCAGGGTTGACCTTATTCGGCTCGTGGGGATCGAAGAAGCAGTTCCCTGATCGTTCAAGGGTCCTAGAACTTCATTTTGTTTCCATCAGGGCCGCCTGTTGGGGATCGTATCTGGGTGCCCGCGACGACTTGAGGAATCGCGGTAACTCACGCACGAAAGTAGTTTCTGATGTTCTTTTAACGATTTCGCGTGGCCCAGGATACACCGCGGGTAATCTGGCGCGCACGCGGGCTCGCACACGCTCCTGAACAAAAGGAAATTGGTTTACGTGGCTCCTTTATCTCCCTCGAGATTTACCGCTCTTTGAAACCACCGTATCTGTTGGACAATGAAATAACGAGCTGGTTAATTAATGAAAGCGGGCGAAGCGAGTGGTACCTACTTGATGCTTGAGCGTCGTAATAATTTTATGATAATTTGATATCCGATGTCGTGGGAGTGTTCCGTAAACTGGGAAATAAATGGAAAGTAGAATAATCGGTTCGGGGAAGGGGAGGATATTTTATTTCAAAACGTCAATTAGTTAAAAACGTAATACCCTGAAATAATGAATACAGGGGTTTATTGTTCTTTGATAGAAAGCAAAAGTGCATTGTTTCGGAGTAATGAGGTTTCGTTTCGATTAGGATAACACAAAGATTTTCAAACGTGATGTCGAATATGGTATTAAAAATGATACAATAATTTCAGCCGGAGACGAATAACGAAATAACGGATATACCGTTACGGGCCCAGTTCATGATCAGAACCCAAATTCTGATCAGTAGACATTATAGAGTTTCAGGAAGATTATTCAGGTTTGCTTTTTATTTCAAACCTACTGAAACCCTTGACAGAGTAAATAAATTTTTGGTTACCTCCAGTTTCGAGAAATTAATCCATAAAATTTTATATTTGAATTTACTGTCCAGTTTGGTACATAGACGCCATATATTAAAAGTTGATTAAGGTAAAATTTTATTCCCAAAAATTACTGAGTAATTATTAAATATTTTGAAGTTCATATGTAAAATTTTATGGCTCAGAGTGAGGTACAGATGTATGATTCTCATCATTTATTTATTTTTACATTAAAAATCCGATTACAATTTAATTATTATTGCTTTTGCACTTTTGTGAGTAGCAATTCGAAGATAGAACATATTTTGGTCAATTTTTCTATTTACCCGTTGACAAAATCCGCGATAGTTACTCTTAAGCGATCAGGAACTGGGTGCGTAACGGTAAGTCGTTTGTTTCACCGATACGGATTACCGATTTATCATTTCGAACAGCTGCTTTTGAGTCGATTTCGTTCGAATAGCATCGAAATCCGATGAAAATTCGCTGAATCAATCAGCCAAATGGAGACACGTGTGCCGACGGCCATTTCCGAGAATGAACAAAAAAATACGAACAAATAAACACCGTTTCATCTCACGGCGACGTTTTAATATTACGCGATCGAAAGGTCGAGTCGACGCAGTTTTTGGGGTGCAAAAAAAAAACGTGGAGTAAACAATGGGCCTGGAATTCAACAATCGGAGAGTCCATTGACTTCCGACGGAAGCGTGGAGCGGTGCCCTTTTGTCGGACGTTTAAACCATTCGCGACAGTGCTCGGTTTCCCGAAATTAATCATCGACTCGAAAAATCCGCCCGCGGAATAAATTACTTTGCTGTTCTCGAATGAAATAAAATATCGGTCGACGGGAAACAAAAGTGCATCGAGCTCTCGCCCTCCAACCCCCCTGCGATATTGCCGCGGTGAACGAAGGACAGAAATAAAGAGTTTCCCTCGAGGATCTGTGATTCGATAATTGAAAAATGGCCCCGCAAAGAAAATGTAGAGCGGAATAAAATTACAATACTGTGAAATTTCACAGAATTGCCGCCGTTCCCTCTTCCGTCGACCGTGGAATGTTAATATATACAGGGCGATTCATGAAAATTGGACCGATGCAATGATAATACTCGTCAGATACAGAATACGAAAATAATGGCTAGCCGAGTAAAGGAAAAACAAGAGGGGAACGATGAGTGAGTGAATAAAAAAAAATGGGGACGAAGTACAGTGACACAGGTTCATTCACAGACTTGTAAAATAATAGTTAGGTGTCAAAACTTTTATGCAATTTCTACACTGCGTGGCATAACTATGAAACCACTCTAATATTTTCAATCTTTATGTATTGTGGTTAACATAAAAACAAACCACGCTATTGTAGGGAATACAATCTATCTTTTCTGGAGAAACATTATTTGTCAACACGATTTCAAACATTGCATACCTGGTTCGTTTTTATTTTAATCACAATACATAACAATTGAAAATTTTAGGGTGGTTTTATAGCAATGTTACACAGTGGATTTATATATTCTCCTTATCATTACTTTTATCCTTTTTTCTGACAAGTTCTTCGTAATTTCGAAATAAAATTCGCATTTTGGTGAGTAATTTGGTCAAATATAAGTAAGAGCCCCTCGTGAACAAACTTTCGAATCATTGTACTTAGAGTAATAAAAAGTGCTCTGAAATTAACATATTGAATGGACGTGAACTAAAAAGAAACACACACTCTGCTTCTCGAGGTCTTGGTAAAATAGATATTTCCGATGTGAATGACAAGTTTCGCATTAAAGTATTTAGAATTAAGAGTTCACGCACATTCACGTGAAAAAGTTTCGTTTCGTCGAAAGAGTGGATAAAGTACTCGAAACTGTTTGGTGCGCACAGAAGCGGAAATGTTTCTGGTAAAACTCGTTTTGGTATTTAATACGCGTCAAGGCCGTGTGGAAAAACAAGTTTCGTGCCCCGGCGAAGGAGTAATTATTTAGCCCCGGTCGCGTGGACACGCGCGAATTAATCTCAACGATGTGCACGCGATTTATTCGCAAACGAGAAGTATACCTGTTCCCCGTTCTCGGGGAGGGTGTGGAGGGGAAGAAAAAAAAAATTGTTGACTGGAAAATTATGTCGACACCGTGTCGTTGAGAGCAAAATCCGGTGTAATTAATGGAGAGGGCGGAAATCTCTGCTCGTAGCTTCGTTCGAGGGATAGAGGGTGATTCATGTGGAGAAGGCGGCCACTGTTTTTGAATGTAGAGGATTAGAGGCCGCTTCCTTTTGTTCCTTTTTACGCGTTTAGTCGTGGAAAACAGATCCTTCTCCCGTTGTATAACCAATTTTTCTGGGGTTTCAGTTTTTACACACAGTGCGAGGATAATATACAGGACGTTAAAAAAAATGGGGTCTAAGGTTGAAGTTTAATATTGATTGTATTTAGAAGATTCAATGCACCTGGTTTTTATCACCGTAAGGATGGATTCTGTACTCTGGATCTCTATTGTCTGTGACGGGGCAGTAAAAATAACCAAAACATTCACGTGCTAAGCCCAGCTGCGACTGTTTCTATCCTTGTCCCACGTAAATAATTATCACCTCCCTTTATTTATAGTTACCGACTCGAAATGAATTTAGAGTCCACTATTATAGTTACTTAGTCGAAATGAAACAATTTCGCGTACAAGCGATATAAACACGACAGTCACTGCGTGGACATTGGTGTCGTCTCATAAAAAAATACACGTTTATCTTTGTTACCAATAAAAGTGGCGTAGAACAACTGCACAGGCGAGTCTGAACTATCTTCATATAAAACCGTTTACTCGGTCAGATACACAAATGAAATCACACAACACGCGGAGAATAAATGACAAATAAATTAAATTAAATTAAACGGTAAAATTCACTATAATAAATTAATGTGATTATGAAAAAAAAAACACAGATGCTCTTCTACGAGTGGTATTTACGCAGCTAGATGTGTTTTCCTCGACGGCTACCACTATACTAAGAGTAAACGGGGACAACATTTGGAGGACAAGCGAAGAATCTGGGAGGTCGAGGGACCGAAAACAGTCCGATTGGCGTGTTTCTGACCCTAACCTTCGGTTGTTGATAATTTAGAAACTGATACCTGGAACACAATTTCGTGATTTTCGTTTTATTTTGACACGTATAAAACATCCCTTAATGTTTCTAGCACACTACTAACCTTGTACATTACCCAAAAACCGTTTATATTAATATTTACATTGACAAAAGTCGTTAGTACACCGTAATTTCGAAACGAATTTCAAGAAACTTCTGGTGGTTAGCTTGTATCAGTGAACGAATGGGATTATACTTGCTAATTTCCCGCGACAAGTTACACCCAACGGCATCAAAGAGATGCAAAATAACCGAACAATGTGTCGTGGGTTACTCTGAAACAAAAAAAAAACCGAGTGGGTGGAGAGATACCGCCGCATGTATCGAATATTTTCATACTTACCACGAACCCCGATAAAGCGAAGCTATATGGACTATTATTACGGTGCATGCATGATTTTCTGATTATTCCCCTATACATCATCAATATTAATTAACGGTGCGAAATTCTTTTCATCGAATCATCCTGAACATTCTACAGTATCGTTTGATTCGTATAATTTCCTTTCAGCGTTCAATCGTATCGATTCATTCGAAGATAAACGATTATCCAAGATAGAAACAAAATGTAAAGGTGAGAATCCATGTGAAAAGCTGATACATTTTGTCTGTGTTCTCTTTTTTTTTAGCTTTTAGCACTGCGACTATTGATGCAAGGCGACAAGGACCATCCGAACGCGCCTCTCGGGAATAATTTCAGACCGCCCCAACCGCTACATCATCGCCCTGTTCGAACAAACATCGACTTCAATGTGCAGGTAACGATAACAACCGACGGCCTTGTTTGAGCTTATGTACGTGATTGTTTAAACTTCTGTTCCTTTTTTCTGGATCCACCAGGGACCGAAGAACTGTCCGACCATGAATAGGGAAATATATTACCAAGGTATGGAGTAGCTGGTATATACATATATACTAATGACCCGGAGGTAAAAATGGGAAAAGTTCATTGAATATGCCGCTTGAAACTAGGACTGCGCAGCCGCCTAATTTCGATCCGTTGTAATATTTCTGTTTTATCGTGGAATGACGGGCTGGAACGAGGATGAACAGAGTCGGGGCGATATTTCGTTCGGAGTATGGTAAACTGGACCGCAAAACTGGAATCCTCGGTCGAATAAAATTGCTCACGGTGATCACGATAAACTAATAACTATATTTTCTATCAGTAGCACGGTAGAAATACGGGTTTTTAAATATACTTTTTAAATGACAATTTTTAAAGATACTTTTCAGTAATCTGGATATAAAATATCAAATGATAAATAAAAGATTAAGACAATTGTTGATTACTACAGAGGGTGATCCAATACGAATTATCACTAGAATATCTCCGTTATTTTTGGAGACGTGAAAATATTCCATTGATAAATGTTCTTCATTATACAGAGGGCTATAATATGGTAGTAATAATTTTGTTACACCTGGAGGAGTTTCAAAGATTTCAAGGTCACCTCCACTTTGTAAAATGAAATCATGATATTTTTTATACATTAATCGTTGCAATTCGACATTCTCTATAAAAAAAGTATTAGCACGTCGAAGGATTATTAGTTTAAGAGACAGGTTATGGAAAGACGAACGACGAACAATGTTATTGTTAACATGATGATTTACTACTAATCTCATCATAACTCCAACAATAAAGGTGTTCAAGTAAATATTTATTATGCCCTTGCGAATCTAACATTCTAAATTTAAACGCCCTACATCTTGATTTACTTGCTTGTAATGCAATCGTTTTTCCACGACCTATCTCCTAAATTTAGAATTCTTTGACATAATACTGCTTGTTCTCGCGACATTTAAGAATTTACATCGCAAGTTCGCTCCCCAAGCACCTTCGCCAATCGAGGTCGATAATTACTGTTCAACACATAAAATACCTCATAACTGTTAATACGTGTTTCCAATAGATCTTTCTGTGCTGAAGAATCTGCAAACCATTTTTTCCGATCACGTCCACTTTTTGAAAAAATTAATTTTTCTTAAAAATTGCAAATTTTCAACCTTGGATGTGTGTTGTTCCTTTACAGTAATAATTATTTAATGTTTATTTACACGAAACAGTTCTCTGTACTCTTCCGACCAATATGATGTAAATTGTTATTATATTATAGACATCAAAATATGTTTGAATAATGATCAAAGTGAAAAGGACACTGAACACACACCAATGTTTGCTGATATTCTCGTATTCAATGAACTTGACCCGACTATCTCTCTCTGCCTCATCATATCCTAACACTGAGAATATACCTTAAACGTGTGTGGTCACGGTGTCATTGTCGGTCGACTGTTTCAGCGAACAGCTGGAAATAACCCTGAGGAGCCGAGGGAGACGGCTGGCGTTCGCAGTTAACTACGCTTTCCCCGGGACGAGCTGGAAGTTCGCTGTTACGAGCATAAGAAAATTTACAAAAACAAAAAAAACAACCCACTGACATATCAATTATACAACGCGCTCGATCGGAAGCCGGTTAGGTGGTCGTCGATCGGATCGATCTGGCCGTGTCTTGCGCCGTTGTCGTTGAGAACGCGAACTGAGAACGAAAGAAAGAGAGAGAGAGAGAGAGAGAGAGAACGAGAGTTTGAAGCGAAAGTCGAGAGAGAGAAAGAGCGCGTGAGAGAAAAACAGAAGGAGGAAGGAAATTCGAAATAAAGAAAAAAAAAGGAATATGAAAGAACGAAAAGGAAAAGAAAAATGCTTCGTTGTACTATTAGACGTGAACTGCCAAGTATATTTCCAGTAATGAGAAAAAAAACACACACACACACAAACACACAGAAGATATACCTATATATATATATATAAATATATATATAGATTACAATTTAGTCGGAGATAAGGTAAACGGAAGATTACACAAGATATATTATTATACGTATATCGATCAACTATCAGAAAGCTATTGACTATCGTGGCCTGCGTCGATGTCGTGACGGAAATGACGTGAAGAAGAAGATATGCGCGACTCTATGTATAAAGGTTCATGCGGTGACGGTGCACACAGATCTATACACATACAGAGAGAGAAAGAGAGACACACACACGACACACACATCACACCACCCATATCGAACGAAAGTTTATACTATATTCTTGTAATAAAATGCTGAAAACGTAGACGGATGTACGAACATCGAAACCTTTACTTTTCGATTCTGATGGGCACACGAATAATCCTCATCGATCTGTTCCACCATCCACTTCTTTTCTTTTTTTTTTTTTCACGAGATAATATCCACACACCCCTGAGAGTCGAGTAGTTTTGCGTGACCGACGGAGGCTCCGTTTGTCAACACCGGATGTTTCGTTCGATATTTTGGGGCGAAACTTAGGGGGGTTAAGGCAGTCGCATAAACACGAATTGCTTTTCATTCTGAGACCACTATTAATCCTTTGTATTAGTTAAAACAGATTGTAGAATTCGTGGTTTGATATCCTACCGGCGAAACGGAACCGGCGACCGTATCCTTTACGTTATAGTAATCGTGAATACACTGACGGCCAAAAGTATGGGGCCAGAGTTCACGATTAATGGAACAGGAACTCATTATTCTGTTACAGTAGTGTACAAGTTATTAATCATGCAGATATACAAAACATTTCCAATCAGTTTTAGTAGATTACTTTTATCAAAACATTGGAGAATAATATTTTTCTCTTCCTTTAATTATCAGAGCTGGTCTTATATTTTTAGCCAGTAGTGTAAATAGTGCAGTAGGGAGATTTTGTAAATATTATAAAACACATAGATATCATTGTAAAGCATGTACATATTCAACAGCATATATAAATATTGTTTCGTATCACCGCTGGGATGTCAAATAAAAATACGAATAGTTCATTTAACAGATCATGTGGCCCTTACTATGAAACCACGGTGATCCATAATCACAGCCATCGTATTACAAAAAGTCTTTTCAGTCTTCCCGCAATTGTGCTTATACCACATTCAAAACCAGCGCTCCTAAATTATAAAATACTCATGCCTGAATTCCCCTCTTCTTATTGAACAAAGCACAAAAAGAAACGAGATCTATGAATGAAAATAATTTATCGATACTCAGCACCCTCGTTTCTCTCCAGTTTCATTGAAAACCCACTCCTTCGGTACTTCCCCCGCGTGCACGAGCTCAGTCGATAACGTAGAGATTCCCATATCCATCGAGGGGGATGCCCCCAGCCGCCACGGTCTTTTACCAATCGATCCGTTCTATCAGTATCCTCTCCCTGACGCCAATTAATTCCCCGCGCGCGTCTTCAGAGGTTAGGGCTGACCCTTACCCCCAGCCCCCACCCTCCTATACATGGGTTATGTTCCATCGGCGTTCCATCGAACACAGGCCAAAACTCGAAACCCATCGGGTCGGTGTCAGAGTCAGCGGTTACAGTAGGGTTCGTGTGAGCGGAATCCTCAACCAGGAAAGGGCATAGCGGGGTCGAAAGGTTATGGGGTAGGGGATAGGGGGGTGGTGGAGGGGGTGGTTGGAACGGATTTCATTGAACCAGAATTCGACGGTGCTGCCCGCGGACGGTCGTCTATGCGGCAAGGGAGTCGAAAAGGGACAGCGAGCGAGAGGTCGTCGAGAAGGGAGGGAATACTGGGTGGAAGGGAGAGAAAGGTACGGAAGTGGGGGGAAGTGTATCAGAGAGGGGGAAGCAAGAGGAACAGACACGGGGATACGGAGGCATCGTGTCGGTGGCCTCTGCAGCAAATCTGCAGGTTTCTACTGGCGTGTGTTGGGATCAGTGTTAATAAACGGAAAATCGTGGTTACGCGAGTGATCGTGGTTTTCCAAGTGGAATTCTCTCTTCGGTTAACCGTGGATCGGTTGGTGACAGTGGAAAATCTGGGTGCCGGGCGGATGGGGGGGGCGATATAGTAATACGTTGTGCGTGTTATAACAAGGAGGAGGGATGAAAATGTTCGATGGAGCGGCGCGGTCGCAGCATCCGCTCCTCCTCGCCCGTTACGCCACGGCGGACGCTCGACGGCTTAGACAGGGCAAAGCCGATGGTTGGCGGTGAAGCTTCTTACCGGCCTGGCACGGGAGATTGATTGATCGGCCCAGAAGAGGATAATAGAAAAGTACGTCGATGCCAGTCGACGACCCCGCGGCACAGGTGGGGGGTGTCCTCTCGTGAGAACGGGCGAACACACACACACACACACACACACGCACCGTTCGTACTGGGGCCGATGCTACGCGTGGAGAGGAAGCTGACAAGTGCATCGTGTCTGTTCCTACTGGTTTCTAAAGGCTTCCTCTTTTTATCTTCTCTGTGTGGTGTGTGTGTGTGTGGGAGGGAATGGGTGTGTGATCATTGTCGGAACGTCCGTCTAGTGTCTCCTCTGGTGAATAAACACGAGAAAACAAGGGGGGAGGGGGGGAAGGGATGTAGACAGAAGAGGGGAAAAAACGAGTGACTCTGTGAAACAGTGTTGTCTGTTCAGGCGCTTGCAGGATTTTACACGCGTCCAGGAATCCTGAGGCTAGATCAAGCATAACCATCGTCAAGAGACACTGGTGAGATTCGATCCCATTTGGAATAATTCGAGAATCAACCCCCTTTCGAGCACGAATCGACATATCGGTGGCTACTTTCCCTTTACCCTGAGGATTCAATTAGCCCCCTTGGTTTGTGGTGTCCTCCGTCACGAGGGTTACGAGAAAGAGAGAGAGAGAGAGAGAGTGGACTTCCGAACCGTATCGGTCGAACTGAAAATTATCGGTCGGGGCTCCCCACCGGTGCAGCCGGGTTTATGACTAATTTATGATCGATATAAATTTCGTGGCGCATTACACGCGGGCATACCATTAGCGGAGTCAGCAATTAATATGCCTTAGTAGGCGGCCGGAAGCGCTCGTGGCCCCCGGGACACCCCTCGCTCCGTGGGGGTTGGAAATATCCTGGAGGGGCTTCGAAACTCCCCTGTTCGTTTGCCCGATCAAAGCGGTTTTCGAGCCGTCACGGAACAGCCGGGGGGTGAAAAAACAAAATCGTCACGCGGACGAAAATCGACAGGAAAAATAAAATCGTATTCGGTCGCTAACTGGATATTCGATATTCTTGCTGATAGAATGTAAAATAAAATTAAGAAAAAATAGTTACATAATCGGATCCTGGGGGGTATTGTTGGTCTTTGTTGCAGATTAGAGGAGAGATCCAGCCGAGGAAACGGAATCGGAGAAGTAGGCCGGGGCCCACGCCACGCCACGACGCCGCTGTTAATCAGAATGAAATCTAAGAACCCGTCGACAATGGATCCGTGATGCCTGAAGGAGACCGGTCGCGGCGAAATGAAAGCCCCTGAGAAACAATGGAAGCGTCCACGCAAGCATGACGGCCCCATTCAAACACGCAGACGGCATGCTTAGTGGTGGCCAAACGGGACGATCAAGTAAGAACGAGCGGGGCTTCGGGGATCGCGTGGTTGTTCTAATTCAGATGTGGTATCAGTACTGATGTATACACAGATAGTTGAGTACAGGTGTTGGGAACGGTGGTAGGGTTCGTTTTGATTTAATAATGGAACGCTCTTCTGGTTTCACCGGTGGGAATTTAAGGTTGCTGGATGTGTAAGAATTCTACAAACGAAAACGGAAAGTTCGTAAAGAGAACGGGATTTTGATTTTAAAAAAAAGGTACACGATTAACCATCGATAATAAAAGCTGAGTTTTTTGTTTTCTAATTTTGTTTACTTCTCTGCCCATTGATTTGGGAAAACATGCAGCGATAACAGAGTAGGTCAGAAATTTATTCGAATACTACATAGGGAACAGCTGCAGTATCTAAGGGTATCGTTCTGAGCTTTAAACAATTAATAAGATTAAATAATTGTTTGCCGAATGTCGACTGAGTCGAGAAGAAGTATTATTTGTATTATGCAAATTTGAATTTCCACGTTTGAACGATTAAAAATGATGAAGTACTTTTTTATCTATTATTTGTTATTCGAAACTCTTTAGATAATGAAATTGTGGTTACTGTTGAAATTCGTTTGACGCATCTGTGAATTTTTATTTCCATTGTCCTGTTGATATTCGAAATCACTGTAAATAAATTGTTAATCTTTTATAAATGTGTCTGGCATCATTCAGGTATGCCATTAGCTGAATTTCATATGGTTTCATTCTTGTCAATTCACTTCGAATCATTACAAGATTGAAATTTAAAAAATACTTTGTTCTCGCGACAAAATGGCTTTCAATGATTTCAAGGTACATTTACATTACAAATCTTTGAATCATAAATTCTTATCGCGATCTTCCTTTTCAATAGTTTCGTTGATGAATCATTCACTATGGTCTATTACCAGGGGACCTTTCATAAAACGCACGGTATAATGTTCTCTAAATTCTTCCTTTACGTGAAAAGTGTCCACACAACTTTCGCGTTTTATAATAAAAATGGTCCGTCTCACACGTTTTTCCTTTTATATACCTGCCAGAGACAAAACACGTGAATTTTTTCACGCATATCCAGCATAATAACTAATTACGAAAATTGTTACGTGGCCCTGTTTTCTAGCGATTTGTTACCTCAAAAAAGCCTTTACTATTTCATTGTTATCCATAATTGGTTCTCCAATTATACGGCACCGTCGGTGGCCATTCGAATGAACCGCACCGATAGACCTGGATAAATAAAGTAGCCACGTACGATCAAATTTATGAGTAGCTGAATAAATGTACGCCAAGTATAATCGAGAGCAATTCTTCAGGCTGTTGCACAGGTAGTGCTCGAGAGTCACATTTGCTTTTTTTTTTAATGGTCATTGTGGGCTACGAAAATGAAAATCGACGAGCACGTGTCGTGTTTAATCAACAGCTCACAATAACGCGTTAAGTAGCACCCGCTTACGTCGTGGAGGGCGTGTTAATCCGGAAATTATCACGCGTAATTTTACATGCTAACGCAAATGGGCTAAATGACAGAGCGGCCGGTACCAACGATGCACAGAATGTTTCAAAACCGTTTCGCGTGAATTGTAGCATTTAATCATCGCCAAGCACCACACATGTCCAGGAAATTGTTGATTATCTCAGTGTTTTCGGGACAAACGGTACCCAGCTATACCATTTTTTTTCGTCTATGCCAACGTGGTTCACCGTAGACCGGATGAATTCAATCAAGTAATTAATTTACATTGAAACATGTAAACGAGGAATATGGAAATGCAGGGAATATCGGACGGGCACGTCTTCAAAGGTGCCTCGCATCTCTAACGAGACCATTGGAGTGCCCTTTTCGTTTAGTCAATTTTTCCCATATTTTTCTTCTTTTTTTTTTTACTACAACGATCTAAAATACTACCCCTTTGGTCAAAGAATTCGATGGATTGGATTACGTTCACGGAAATTTCTTTAACGTCAAACTCTATGTTACACTGCATTTTAGAATTATAAAACCGTTTTAGAATTATAAAACCGTTTTAGAATTATAAAACGCGTAAGATGGTGATCTTGTCTTCTTACCAGGATAACTCATTCGCTTTATAATTTACGCATTTCACAGAAAAAGATACTGACAGTGGAAAAGAAAAAAGTAATAAAACACAAAGAAATCGTCGATACTAGTATGTGTTCAGGATGTGATAAATTGCATGCATATCCACCTTTGGAAGACTTGATACACTGTTTCAAGTGCTTAAACTGGTTGCATAAATCTTGCACGAATTATCGAAGAGCTGGGTTATTCACATGCCAAAATAGTATTTATAAAATTAATATAACCATCTTACCCCAGTATGTTCACACTCCCACCCAATGGTCGGGCAAAGTGACCAATTTACTCACAAATTAGTTTTTAATTTTCCACCAAAGATTATTCTAAAATAATTTTTTTTGTACAAGTAATAAAAAAGTTACTTATTTTCGCGTAGTATCTCAACCGCGAAAATACATTGAATCACAACGTATCAAGATGGTTTAATAGTTACTGGGATGTTCACTGTACTTCCTAAACCCTCAATTATATTTGCTCACGAACTTTCTCCGCTGTTGCAGACTTCTAATTGGCGTGAGGAGACGAGAAAACAGACTGTGGCATGATAGGGACAAAGCAGCACCCTCTACGAGGGCACCTACTGCTTGCCATACTCTTTCTGCTGGGCACGTTCGCGTTGCTCTCGCGAGCCGCCGCGTTCCCCGATTGGACGGACTGTCCAGCGGTGTGCCGTTGCAAATGGACATCCGGGAAGAAATCGGCTCTCTGCCCCGACGCCGGCTTAACATCCCTGCCAGCATCCTTGGACCCGGATATGCAAGTTCTGGATCTATCGGGAAACAAGATACCAGCTCTCCAGTCCGAGATCTTCAAGCGATCAGGCCTGCTGAATCTCCAAAGGGTGTTTCTGCGTAACGCTGGTATCCACCAGATCCACGCCGACTCGTTTCGTGACATGAGGATCCTGGTGGAGATCGATCTATCCGACAACCACGTGAAGATCCTCGAGCCAGGCACATTCCTGGGCAACGAAAGACTGAGGATCCTGATCCTGAGCGGCAATCCACTGGGTAGCTTGACCAGCCACCAGTTCCCGCTTCTGCAGCATCTACGAACCCTAGAGTTGCAAAGGTGCTCGTTATCGGAGATACACGGTGAAGCGTTCGTTCATCTGACGGGGTTAGAATCACTGAGGCTCGATCGCAACGAGCTGGAGTACATAGAGGCTCCGGTGATCTCGAGTCTGCCTCGTCTTAAGACCCTAACCATGGATGGGAACCGATGGAGCTGCGACTGCAGGCTCCGTGACTTCCGCAGCTGGCTGATCTCCGACGTTCCGAACAAACTCTATTCCGTACCTCAAGTGTGTACAGGCCCGGCACGACTAAAGGATCGTAAATGGGAGGACGTGAAACCTGTGGAGTTCGCCTGCGAACCGGAGGTTTTCGTTCTGGCCAGTAGCATACAGGAGGAGGTAAACGGTAATCTGAGCCTGGCCTGTTTAGCAACTGGTGATCCTGAGCCTGAGGTATGGTGGCAATTGAACGGTGGTCCAGTGAACGCCACCAAATTGACTGATCAAACGTACACAGGGACATATGTCGCGTACGCAACTCCCGATGTCAGTATGGCCTACAACGAAAGATCCACCACTGGTAAGCTCACCGACAGGTGGAGCAACCTGACGGTCTATAACGCGAGCGACGGTGACGCCGGTGAATACGCGTGTTTCGCGAAGAACATCGCCGGACTAGCAAGGGACGCAGTTAGTGTTGCTATTCCCCGTGTGTACACAGCCCCGACCCTATCGCAGAGCGACAATTGGTTGCTTTGGGTCAGTTTGGCCGGTGGCGGTGCAGCTGCGTTGTGCGCCTCGATCTCCGCGGTTCTGTTGGCGTTGTGCGTGTGCGGTGGTACACGTCGACAAAGTGCACGGGAGAAGGTGAAGCTACAGGGTAGCACGAGCTTTGGTGATCAAGAGAAAAAGCTTCTCGATTTGTCCGTGACCACAACGACACCTGGGAACAGTAACGAGCAGGGAAGTGGTCATGGTAGCCTAGCAGAGGCATATGGGTCCGGTGATCTGGAACTGGCGGAAAGAGGATCGATCTGCGATCCTATGAGTGCTGCCACTGTCACTGTTGAGAGACTAAGACCAGAGGTGACTACTGGTTCCGTGAACGCGATCAGATCGGTACAGTGCTCAACGATGTTCCCGCCACCGCCGCCGGAATTCACCAGCGGTGTTCTTCCAGCTGGTATCTTCGGGAATATCTTCATCTCTGTGTCTGTGCCCCAGGATTCATCCGAACGTTGTTATCCAGACTTGCTCGACATACCTGTGCACGGCGGTGTGGTGAACAAATCGAGCGCAGCCTCCTCAAGTGTCTCGAGTTTCGCGACGTTACCACGTAGAGCTTTACGCTCGACCGATTTATGTTCGCCTTACGACAATATGGGGCCTCGTGTCACTGCGAACGGGAGCTCGGCGTTCTCGTTGACCGACGTGGACCTGCGGTTATCGCCGCCGCCGCCGCCGCGGATCATTCAACCGCCCCACGAGTTCGTTTCTTTGTAAAAACAATACAAGACACAGGCGAAACACGCCGGCTTTCGAACAAATAGTCGGTATACTTGTTCGCCAAGCTGATCCGTCGCTTTCGTCCCCAAACAGTTCAGTCGCCAAAGTCCACCCCCTACTCCTTTAAACGGTGTCTCGTTCGTTGTTCGGGTTGTAAATTTCCATGTGTATCTGTATTTTATACGATGTGAGCCGTGGGCCTACCAGGTGAGGCACAGAGGTTACAGTGAAACATCGATGAGTGTTCGATGACTCCTCGGCACTGTATTCAAACGTTATTCAAACTACTGGGTGGGTCCTCTGTGAAACTCGTCAAGTGCCCAGTGGAATGACGTCGGAACATTCAGTGTCGAAGAACGTTCGGACACTCATCGATGATTTACTGTATATTGCACCGGGTCTCTTAACCACGTTTTTTTTTTGTTAACACCAATCATGGTATAATGTTTTTCCACGAAAGCATCCTCCAGAATTTCCATCGCGTGACACAGAGAAACACGTTGAATGGTTGAGTCGATTCTCGATTGCGTGGTCTCTCGAATTTTTATATGATCTTGATCGGAATAGTTTGTTTTCGAATCGCTTGGTAACCAAATGGCTCACGTTTTTCTTTTTGTTCTTCGAACCCCCAGAAACCACATCGCAAGCGTACAATTGAGTATGGGACCTAGAAAGTTTGTATCTTGTGCGTATACATTAAAAAAGACGTCCGGCAGATTTATCGAAAGTAGTATACAGAATATTTGATCGAATTCAATTCAATTGTGTCTGTCCATCCTATTCGATTACGTGTAAGACATCGGTGTGTCCCGAAACTGCACGTTCCGTTCGTTAAACTCCAACGGGTCGTTCATAATTGATGGCCGCTAATACGTTTTCGCGATCGAATTCATTATTCACTCGGGGCTATTTCGATTCCTTCGGAAATCACGCTTCACTGACTGTGTCGAATACATTCGATGTTCCATTCGTTACGATATATCGTTCCAATTGGGCACCAATAGACGCGAGAAGGAGGACCAATGGTGCCTGCTTAATAATTATTTTCCCTTTGAACAATAATTTTTTGATTTTGCTTTCACCAGTAAGTTGTGATTCTATATTGTTCGATCGTATCTTCGAATCACCATATATACAGTGTACAGCTTCAAGATGGCCGTACGTGAGCCAAGAGAACGTGCAGTTTCGCGAAACAAAATCCCCCCAACACCTCGTCTGTCTGTTCGCTTGTGTCTGGCTTGCATGCTTGGTTGGCGTACAGTTGGCTGCCTGCAGGAGAGAAGTGTGTACGTTGAGTGCCTGTGTCACCTTTAGGATCTAAGTTTCTTCTAGTTGCCAATATCCACTGGAGCCGGGTGGTTTGTACATAAATTAAGCCCGCGAAGGGGTCGACCATCCCTTGTGGCGGAAGGAAGGAAAGACGAAGTAACGTTACCGGTTATCTCCCTACACTCATTCTCGAACTGTATCACTAGTTTGTTACCGTAACTCTACGTGTGTACATATTTGTTATCGCAGTACACGTAACTATAGCGTGGCCGATACGTCGCGTCGGTATTCATTATGAACACTTTGTCAATTAATAAAACGATTGAATTTTACACATATCGTGTTATTGTATTAAATTTATTCGGTTGTACCAGCAGATATCCCTCCCCTAGGTTGATTTTGCGATAGAACGTATCGTTAGACGAGGTTAACATTGCCATGTGAACAACAGTTGAATTTTGATCGAGAATTGGTAAAAAGATCTGATGAAACTAACGAGTTTTCAGTTCTACTTAAACTACGAAGGGTTAAAGAAAGAAGGACTAGTGAAAGAAAATAGGGATTATTCTATAAAGAAAATTGAAATTTGAGTTCTATGATACACTACGAGTCGTCTCGATGCGTTTCCATCGATTTTACCGCCCTCGACCGATTCATATCTCGACGATCATCATCCGTTTTCCAATTCAAGGGAAACACCCGACGGAAATTTCAATGGCTGATATCAATTGCTGAATGTATTCGCGAGAAGAGAATACCAGGAGAAATAGTCGGGAGAGAAAGGAGTAGGATTGGCTCATCGGCCAAGTGGTTTCGTTCAGAAAAGAAACATAATTTAACGGTCTTTTATTACTTCCTTTCTTCTGTCAGCGAAAACTCTCTGGACGATGTAGTGCACATCCCTATAGGTTCACAATTGCCGAAACAAGTATAGATTTTTCGAATATTCTGGATACTCGTATACGGGAGACTATTCGGTGAACTATCCTGTAGAAAATCAACGTCGTGGATCACTGATGCGGTTCAAAGACGATTTTGTTTTTAGGTGACGAAGAGCCCAGGGAAATATGTGCATCCACGGTGTCCACGTGAAAAGTTGTACGCTGGGAAAGCTTATGCTGATGATCGTTTGCTCGTTAGAATTCCGTTTCGCGTCCCAGTCTTGGCATGTAGTCGTTCACGGGCAGTTGACTGTTTCTGGTACCTACAACGAATGTTTTTAACCAGTTTTCTGGAAAACTATTCCTCATCACATCCAGAACCCTAGACTAACAATAACAAATTTTCATACTAAACTTTCCCATTATTATTTCCCCCGAATATTTTCCATTGGTATAAAAATCACTTCCACAGTGGGTTACGATTACAATAATCGTGTTAAAGATCGATTCCAAATACTAGGTTACTGTGCACAAAAATTCCTACCCATAACACTTACGCCGTCTTTTACGATCGAACCATATTTGGTCGGCGAATTTCGGGGACACGTGTGATTTTCGCGTTACAACCGACATTGTTCCCCTTAAATCCGTTCCACGTGATGTAACGCGTCGGAATGGGAACGGAATACGATCGTTAAGAGGGGTGGGGGGGGGGGGGCCAAAAATTAAATTGGCATTTGGATCGTGCCACATCAACGGAACATTCAACGATACACGTCCGCGCTTTTACTCGCCGATCACGTATCGACGGGATAGATTTTCACGCGGATCCGTCGTCCCCACACATCCCTCCCAAAAAACACTTCGTGACTAGCACGAGAGTTTTACGGACGATCCGGAAAAGAAAAACCGTCGTAGAAAGTAAACAGATAAATGATCGAAACTCCGACGGAGGGAACATTAGCGCTTGTTTTGTGAACGCTTGACGGCCGAAATTGATCAAACTTCTGAACACTGTGGTGGTCGTCGATCTTTCGAGTTCAACGATCATCATTTCCAATTCTATCGAAATTCCCCCCTTCAATTCACACCCGGACACATCGTACCTTGAGCTTTGGAGAAAAA